GTGCACCGTGGGAGCTGCTTGCCTCACCCCAGCCACGACACCGCTGCTCGTGCCACAAGCCCTTCAGAAGCGACATTTCCACGGCAGGCTCTTCCACTGGCCACCACTCACCGTGAGCAGGAGGAACAGGACTCCCCCGCCCAGCAGCGCCGTGCCGACGCCAGCCATCACCAGGTCCCAGAAGCCGGCCTCGGGGTAGACCTCCACCTGCTCCTTTGGCGCAGGGTCCGGCTGGAACTGCCCCTCGCTGCGGACAGCCGGCTCCTCCGGGCTGCTCGGGGCCAGAAACTGCAACACACACCCGGGGCTGGGTGACACCAGAGGGACGGACCGCTGGGCACTCGGGTTCCCCTCCCCACTACAGCCTTGCACACAGGACCCCCCTCCTCGTGCTACCCCATACTGGGGACCCACCGCCCAGCCCCAGACCCTTCAGCGACCCGGCAGTGCCAGAGGTTCCCCCCAGCGCAGAGGTGGGACCCAGCAGAGCTCCGCCACTCACATCGTCGAACACGGTCTTGGCAGGAGGAGCCCTGGGGATGATGGTTTCCGTTGTCTTCCTCAGGTTCTCCGGGAAGGCTCGTAGCATTGTAGTGTGGACCACAGGAGGCGGCTCGTGGTGCCCTGCGGCGGGAGGGAAACAGAGACAACCGTCAGCTGGTCTCTGGTCACAGCTTCAGTCCCTCACCTCCGCAGCACTGTCGTGGGCTCGCCAGACAGCTCTGGCTCTCCTGGAGAAGGGGTGTCTCTTCTCACAGGAGGCACAAGAACTATCACAGCTACAACCTGCCAGCTCCATCCCCAGGGATGGGGACCTGGAGCAGCAGCAGTCAGCGGAGGAAGGCAGAGGGGAAGGTCCCCTGCGCTCAGCACGCACTGGGGGTCTGACCCTGCTCCTCTGTGCCTCCCCTGCCGCGACCTCGAGACACCACCCTGATTTCCAAACATGCCAATGCAGTGTGGCCTCTCCTGCCATGGCACCTGAGACAGCAATCACGGAGCAGGCTAATTAACCCAGCGTCTGGGCGCAGGGCTCGGCGCACAAGGGCACACCCACCAGCACAGCTAATTGTGAATCCTGACAAAGGGTCCCTGCCCACCCCCGGGTGGGGGTGGCTGGCAGCCCCTCCTGGGGAGGGGACAAGGACGGGCTGCAACTGCCCCAAGCCAGAGACACCACAGTCCCCGAGGGCGAGTCACAGCCTCCCTCCCGTTTGCCCGGCTGAGCAAAGCGGGTTGGGCTGCCACAACGGCAGCCGGGGCTGCCCCTCCCCGGGGCGAGGACGCAGGGAAAGCCCGTGCCCCTTGCGGGTCCGCACCTATTAAGAGCCACTGGTTGTGGAGCGCGGTGATGCTGCCCTGCGGGTACTTGACGTCGGTGCTGGGCGTGATCTCACACTCCCCTGACTCTCTCATGGTCACATCATCTGTGGTGGGGCCGTCGATCCTGGCCAGCGTGATG